GCACATTATATTTATTTATGCTATTAAATAAAAGAGACATAGCACATAACAATAAGACTCCAAGCAGACCTCTTTATAAATCATTTGTTCTTGCCTTCTAGTCATTGCTACTGCGGCTCCCCTTTCCTGCAGGATAAAGACAACACAGCCGGGCATAGATGCGTCTGACTGTGGCGTCTGCCTGCATGCCCATCTTTCCTCCACATCCCCTAAATCCAATACTCCTGTCCAACCCAAGTGTCTGAACACACCATGCTATTTCATACCTCCCTGTCTTCGTACATACTGTTCCAACCACCTGGGAAGCCATCTCACTGCCAGGAAATCCCTCCTCACTCTCCAAGGGCTAACTTGAATGTCACCTCCTCAGTGAAGCCTTTGCAAATCCCCTAATGCAGTGGTCTTCAAGCTTCAGTGTGCACCAGAATGCCCGCGAAGGCTTTCTCAAACCCAGATTGCTGCTGCCCAACCCCAGAGTGTCTGTGTCAGGAGGGCTGGTGGAGCCCAGGAATCTGCATTTCCAACAAGCTCCTAGGTGAAGCAGATGTCACACTTGAAACACCACTGTCTTGGGGCATAGAAAGTATACGGTGCCCTTGAGCCCTGAGCTCCTTCACCAGTCTGCACGCACCCAGTACACACTCCCACTCACAACTGAGAGCTCCTCAAGGACAGGAACAGAGTCTTATTCATGCCTGTACTTCCCAGTCCCAGCTACAGACAGCATTCAATACACGGTTATTAAACCAATAGGTGGCTGGCTGGCTGGCTGGCTGGCTGGCTGGCTGGATGGATGGATGGATGGATGGAGCAGGCTAAATTTATATATACAGCTTTGTCATTCAGGTCCAGGACTTCATAAATGCCCATCCTCTCCCTAAAAGGTACCTTGAGGACACTATCTATAATCAATTCCCACTGTGCAAAGAAGGTAAAAAGAAATTCAAGAAGGGTGTTGACATTGTGAGCCCATGTCAAAGGGACTGTGACTTCTAATCCAGCACCTTTCTGCTGCTCTGCACCCCACCCTGGGGCTGCCTACCAAGCTGCACATAAGAAGTCACAGTGTGGACACTTCTGAGTGCACCCCTCAGAGTTCTCACCTGCCTAGCCCTCCTCCCTTTGTGCACATGTATGCATATCTGCGTCTGTCTGTCTGTCTGTATGCTTGTACACACACACACACACACATTGCATTTATAGAAAGGAGAAAAAGGTGATGAGTGAAACAGAGGGAGGGAGAAGAATCCAGCTTCACACGGGGACAGAAAGGGCAGCAGCAGAACCACTCTCTCCCAAGGGAGTGTTTGTGCCCTAAGCACCCCTGGGCTGCCTGTAGTTGGGGCAGAGTGGCAAGGTACAAAGGAAAGGGGACATGTCCACAGGAGACACAAGAAATGTATACTCAGGAGAAAATGAGAGACTAGGAGAGAAACAAAGGCGAGAGAGCCTCTGCAGGGAGGCAGAGATCAGGAGGGTGGCAGTCCTTGCTGAGCTGGCAGCACAGGCGGCGGGGAGGAGGGGCGGGAGGGTCAGCCCTGGCTTGGGAATGCCACTGTGCCCTCCGAGCAGCAGCAGGCGCAGTGAGCAATGGGCTCTGCTGAAGACACAGTTGGGGGGATGGCGCAAGGGACAGCAGGAGGACCAAAATCCAAAGGTCTCTGCGGCTGCAGGTGGTATGAACCCACCACCTGAAGCCCTGCAAACCCCTGGGTCTGTAGGGCTCTTTCTCCATTAGCCGTGCCCCCCCCCCTCGCCCCCGCTCACAAGCAGCTTGGCTCACCCTGCAGCTCTGCTAAAGGGGGACAGGCAGCATTTCCATTCCACTAGTGTCCAGACCTTCCCCTGGGGGAGCCGCAGATTAGCCTCTTGGATTCGGCCCTCCTGCCTCCCTCCCCCACTCCAAAAGCCCTGCCAAAGGAGGCTCATGAAGCTGAGACCCTAGGATGCTGCCGAGCTGTCACATTCAATTCAGCACACAGCCCCAGTGGCATTTAGGGGCAGGATGGATGGGAGCCACCCGCTACCCCCAAACAGTGGGAGCAGCTAATGACTGGGTATTAATGATGCTGGCAATTAGTGCTCACAGGAATAGTTGGGGGGCTGCTCACCAGGGGAACGTGGGAGGGAACAGAGCACACATTCGAAGCAGGATGCAAATCAGTGGCATGTGTGGCGCAGAGAACCCGGGAAGAGCAGCTGTCTCTTCAGTTTGTCCAAAGAAATTGGGGAAGGAGAAAAGGATGGCTTCTGTAGACACCAAAGACCTTTCAGCTGCACCCTCCCTATAGCACAACTGGGATTAATCACAGAGCTCTAAGAGAGGATGTTGTGAAGAAATGTCATTAAAAAGGTATTTGTGAGAGTTCCAGAACCTTCTTCATGTGTGGAGGCCCCAGATCTGCTGAAGTATAGATATTCTTTTCTCTGAGTTTTAAAACCTTTGGCCAGTCAAATGGTCCTTTTTGAAAAACCCAATTTCTCATCAGCAAGGTAAGAAAGAGGAAAGGAGGAGAGGGGAGGTTGGCACACGCGTGCTCCCTGACAAACCCAGACAGATGAGAATGAGCACGCCGTGAGGTTTCTTAGAGAGGTGTCTCCATGTAGGAGGAAAGACAGGTGCAGCTTCTTTCCTAAGCAAGGCTGTCTGGCTTCGAGGGGAGGACACAGGAGGCCAAAGACACCTACCGATGGAGGACAGAATACAGTATGCCACTGTCCTTCTCAAAAGTCAACATCCAACCTGGAGGGGACCACAGGAATGGCTAAGGAGACCATCTCCTTTCTCTTAGGGTCTGCAGCTCACCTTCCCATACCGTCGCCAAAGCCATGCACATGTACGCACACATACACACATGTACACACATACACATGTACACACAGGCACACATGTACACACACGTATACATGTACACATACACATGTGCACACACACACGTACACATACACACACCCACTCATAATGAAGCTATCGGAGAACCAGGAGAAATGAGACACAGACCAGAGAGCAGCATTCCAAACCCCAGAGCGTGAATAAAGCACCTATACGCAGGAACAAAACAGCCTGACATTTGAGAAGAGACATAAGGAGATAAGCTAGCACCGGGGGAGTGAGAAATGATACCAAGCCAATAAACACTTTAGAGAGGACAACAATTGCTAATAAATACTTTCCAGATAGTAGCCAAAATCTAAGGAGATTGTTCTCAGCCTCCTTGTGGTAAGAGGCAACAGCTCCTTGTGACCTCGGGGTCACTTAGACCAGAGAAAAGAGGAGAGAGAGAGAAATGCAAGTAGCAGATGCCTCAGTACAGGTCAACGCATTTTCCTTTCTGAAAGACAAGGGCGAGCTAGCCAAGGAAACCTCCGCCCAGAGAGAAGACTCAGTGTTGTGGCTACGCAGGAGCCGGCGAGGAGAGGTGGGCGAGCTCTGGGGGACACTCCTGCTCTGCTCTTCAGATTCTGTCCTGACGGCGACAGTAGATGAGGAAACAAGGCTCTGTCACTCTCAAGGCCTGAACCTTGAAAGTAAGCAACAACTAAAGCAGGTGCTAGGAGCTGGGCTCGGCCCCCACTCCCAAATTCATATGTTGAAGCCCTAACCCACGGTAGCTCGGAATGGGACTGTATTTGGAGGTGGGGTCTTTAAAGAGGCAAAGTAAAAATGAGGCTGCCGGGTGGACCCTCACATCCAATCTGACAGGCGTCCTTATGAGGAGACGTGAACACACAAAGAGACTCCGGGGCACGTGTGCATAGAGGACGACCCTTGATGAGGTGGCAAGAGGGCGGATCTGGAGGAAACCAGCCCTGCTGGCACCTTGACCTTGCACTTCCATCCTCCAGAACTGTGAGAAAATAAATGTCTGCTGCTGAATTAAGCCCCCCAGTCTGTGGTATTTTGTGATGAAACCCTTAGCAAATCAGTAAAGAAGGCAGTGTTACAAGGGGAAAGTGGGGTGCAGGGTATGGGAAATCACACACTAATCCAAAGAAAGGTCTTGGCCACAAGTACGTTAATTATTCCAAATATTTGGTGAAGGTGGCCAACTGACATCAGTTGACTAAGTCGATCAGCTGAAATGCACAATAGTCATCCTCGAATCCTAGAGTCTAAATATTTTTAAAGCTCTGATCCCTTCAATTACATTGAGTTGCTCACTTTAAGTTCACCTACCACCACATCTTGCAAACAAAGTACACAGCATGTCCACAAATACTCTTCACAAGAGATCTCAGCTTGGCCCGCACCCGGAAGCAAGCCCTAAAGATTCCATGTTCCCATCCCATTTTGAGGTTATTAATAGGCCCCAAGCCCATAAGGGATGTTCTAGAACGAAGTCAAGTTGTAAATGCTAAGCCCCTTCCTGATTCCCTAATTCATAACTAGAAGCTGAGGTAGAAAAGAAAGAACAGAAATGAAAACAAAAAGGACCATTTTAGATCTTCAGAGTCCAACATCCCAAATGGCAAACCCATCCAGATGACATTTGTCATTTGAGTGCTCAAGCAAAGATCTGCAGGCAATATTTCTAAGGCAGGAGAACCCTTTACCAAAATTGAGACACCCCCCCATAACAAAGCCACAGCAGTAGATACAAATATTCTAAGGCCCTGAGTGGCCAAGCTAATATGTGGAATGTCTGTCCAAATGGACACACCCAAGAGTGATGTCCAACTCAGTCTAGGAGCTGTGAGTGGTTCTTCTAGAGCTGAGGGGACAGAGCTGTAGGTCTGGCATCTGACAGAGCCCAGATAAGGACCTTCTCTTCTGCTTAACTTCCCCTTCTTCCTCCAGGGACAGAGCTGGGTGTGTGAGCCCAGTTCTTGGCTGAGCCTCTGGGATAGCGGGCTGGCTGACACGAAAGGGCCACCTCACTACAGGACATTGAGACTAATCAACAGTTGCCACCAGAAAATGCCAGAGGTGAAACAAAGGATCGCTCCCCAGCCCTGCCCACCCCACTTCCTCGCTGCCCGACCTAACAAATGGGACTCACGTCTGTGGTTCTCGTTTCTGTGGTTGGGGGGGGACCGGGTCTCTTGATCTTGGGCCTCATCCCCCTCCTCGCTGGCCAGGTGAGTGTGAGCATAGTGGTAGCTGAGTCCCGGCCGGTTCTTGTAGCGCTTGCCACAGACTAGAGGGGAAAAGAGGAAAAAAAGAGAAATGCAAATATGAGGAACCTCTGCAACCACTGCTGTCATTCCCCAAGCAGTGACACCTCCCCCCCACCCCCGCCCACCGCAGAGCCCGGCTTCCCTTGAGAAGTGTCTCCACCCCCAACACCCAGTGCCCCCACCTGACAGAACCAACATCCCTATAATAACACGTCTCCTGTAAAGAAAAACCACAAAAGTGGAACACGGAGGTTAAGAGCTATATAAGTGTGCCACCATTTCCTAGCTGTGAGACCCTGGGCAAGTCACTCAACCTCTCTGTGTTTCTTCAGAGAGAAAATGGGGATGATAACTTACCTCACAGGGTGGGTGTGATGGGTTAACCTCTATGCAAGGCGCTTAGAACAGCACCGAGCATGCAGTAAGGGTGGTCGTTGTTATAACTTTTAATTCAAAGGGCACTGGGAACCTATGCAATCCAACATCCACCGGCACAGATGAGGCAGGTGAGGCCCGAGATGCTAAGTGACTTGCCTGGGACACACAGCTAGCTGTGGCAGAGCTACCAGAACCCATGTCTCTGGATTCCTATGCAGTGTTCTTTCCACCATCTTCTGTATGAAGAAGAAAAGTTTTATATGGATAATACGTTTGCTGTATCACCCGGTGATTTTGTGCCAGAAAAACATGTTCTACCTCCACTGTGAAAATCATACAGTTGAGGCATTCTTGTGGCTGTGACAACCAAGAGCTCGTGGCCCTGAAGCCCTGGAGCAGCTTCAGATACCCAAAATCTGTAAAAGCCGTCCCACAAGCACTGCCTCTCAAATGAGACAGCCTGAGACACGGGCAGAAGCAATATGAATGTGGCTCCTTGGAGCCGAGAAGGAAAGGGAGCAGTTCCACTGGGTAGCTGCTCAGTACCTAGGAGGCAGAAGCCTGGCTAAATGGCTCAAGACCAGACGACCACCCTCAACCTCCCCACATACAGAGTTTAGCGCCTCAGCCCCGTGGTGCTGGGGGGGTGGGGAGAGAGGCATGGTCCACTGCTAGCAGAAGCCTTGAGGGTCTTCACAGTAAAACTTCCACACCCAGCCTCTAAGCTTGTTCCCTACCTCCCCAGCAAAGCAAGCCCAGCCTGCTCTGTTGGAATACTCGAGGGTCACAAACTCTAAGACACTGTCCCTTCTACTTGCACTGACATGACTAAGTCATACCAATAAGCATAAATAAAAGCTTTCCCAACTGGAAAGAGCCTAGACTTCAGCACCGAACCTGGGTTCAAATCCCAGTTCCAGTTGCTGAAGTTCAGTGGCATGACCCCAATGGCACAGAGAAGAGCTGTCATCTCGCCGTCTTACCCGGTCCCCTTATGACTTCTGGTAGGGTTTCTTTTCCTACTGCATTCTCTTGGGGATTTTTGCTAGATAACCACTGGCAAAAATAATGTCATCTCCTTTCCCATATTTACATAAACTATTTTATCTTAGCTTAATTCATTTGTACAAACCACTGAGACAATATTTTAAAATTCAAAAGCAAGCATTTCCTATTTTAATGAAGTTGAAGTTAGTGTTTCACTGTTTAGAATGATGCATGTAGCTAATTTTTAGTCTTTACCAAATTTAAGTAGTTCCTCTCATTTGTGTTTTAGAGTTTTATTACAGGAGAATTTTATCAACTGCCCTTTCAGCATCCACTAATATACAACTCTCCTTTAGTTTGTAGATATGGTAAATTATGCTGATTTCTTAATATTCCCTATTATTGAACCATTCTTGCATTCCTAGAACGTGCTGTTTGGTTAGAGCATATTATTTATTTGCTATACTGCTGAAATTCCATTTGCTAATATTGCATTTTGCATCTGTACTCAGATTTGAAATAGAACTAAAATTTTTGGACTATCTTTTATCAGGTTTCAATTTTATGGTTATGTCAACTTCCAAAAATGAATTGAAGAGTTTTACTGCATGAAATTGGACAAGATATATCTCCCTGTGCCTTTCTTTTTATCTGAAAATGAGGATAATAGTACTTACCTTGAAGGATGGGTAAAGGGATTACAAATAACATTTGTAAAGCACCTCACTCAGTACCCAACACAATAGATGCACAGTTAAAAGGAAATGAGAAGCAAGGGTCATCAGCTCTGTTTGGCATGTCTTAGGTATGGGATTCTCCTGAAAGAGGGACTTTGACCTTTGCCTCATACTATGGAATCTGGCAATTAGTTGGATTTCCTTGATAAGGTAAGATAAGAGTCTGAAATTCAAGTTGGTGACCTAGTGACTATATATTCAAGGCCTACAATTGACTGCTTACATTCATATGTCTGTCTGTCTGTCTGTCTCTCTCTCTCTCCTCTCTCTCATATTGCAAAAAAAGATAAAATGGCTCTATGCATCTCAATTCCATGTGACTCAGGAAGCAGGACCCAAAGAGACTCCTGAAGTACACACTGGGCCTGCTTGTGGCTTTTTCTATTTAAACTTTTAGATGATCTGAGGTTAATAAGCAGCAAATTATGGGGTCATTGCATATAAATCTATTTGGTCACCAAGCATACTGTGGGTGAGTAATAAGCATTGATTAAAAGTAATGATAATATCACCAGTACTTAAAGCCTCAGCTGCCTCTGCAGATCTCCCAGAATAAACTCCACAACATCTCACTTGTGCCATTTTGTCATGTCAATCACTGCTACTTTCCTTAATCACAGAATTTCAGGATCTTAATGGTCATTTGCTCTAATCATCCACAGAATTGTTTTATTCCCACTAATACTCTAGAAGCCTGTTCTGGGATAACTCCACTGGTGGGGAATGCACTACTGATCGCAGCAGGCATTTCTCCTTTGGACTCCCTGAATTATGGCTATATCTGCACTGGAGGACCTCTCTTAAGGACAGTTTCATATCTATTTCATCTTGCTGTCAACAACTCTACCTTGTATGTGGCCATGCACATACCACACCTTCAAAACATATTTGTTGAGTGGCTGATGAATGAACACAGGACCACTTTGTGGGAAAGCCAGGAGATGGGAGAGGAGGTACTTATAGAATCTGATTCATCTATCTACATTAAACTCAGACTATTCTTGAAATCTGCAAAAACCATACCCAAGCAAAAGCTCCCTCTATCTCCTTCTGCAACATGTTAGAGAATAATAATTTTTAGAGCAAATCTTTTTTCTAGAACAGAGATTCTCAAAAGAGTAGTTCCCAGACCAGCACCATCAACATCACCCGGGAACTTGTCAGAGATGGAAATTCCCAGGCTCCACCCCAGACCTGCTAGATCAGACACCACAGTGGTTTGAGAACCACTGTGCTAGAAGATTGAATATATTTAGGCTTGACTCACCCTATGTCTACCTGCCCTTCTGACTGGATGGACAGGCGGACAACGGCAGTGGAGGCTACCCTGAGACCTGTGCTTGGTTATTAGAAGAATCAGAACCACACAGTACAGGGAGGTCCTGGAAGCCAGACTCCTTTTTGAAGAGCCTCTGGAGGGAGCTTCATTTTTAACTGACTGCTTGTAATGTGTCACTCTTCATCACCAGGTCTTCCATTCAAGAAACACTTAGGAAACACCTGATATGTGCCCCATCCTCTGGCACTAGAAGGACAAAGATAAACAAGCCCCAGACCCCTTCATCAAGGATTCATGGACTCGCAGAGGAGCTGTACATATATACAGGAGAGCAGGGAGGTGGGGTAGATGCGGCAGCTTGAGCATGTGCGGGGCAAGGAGGGGCTGGCAAACTGGGCTAGGGACGGCTTCCCAGAGAAAGAGGGCCTGAGATGAGCAGGACTTGAGTAGGCAGACAAAGGAGGCAAGGGCATTCCAAGCACCAAAGCCCACTAACTAGAACTTCAAGGAGTCTAATAAAGCTGGAGGAAAGGAGGAGTTTGGGTGCATGCGAGAGGGCTGATAGCAGAGGAAGCTGGGCAGGGCTTTCTCCTGACACTGGGGGAGCCAGGGGAGGGTCTTATCCAGGTTACATGTTAGAAATGCTGCTTAAGATTGTAGGGCAGAAGATATATTTGAAAGTGGCAAGGGGCTATTTTGACTGTCTACAGGTGAAACAATGAGGATTTAGGCACGGAGAGGAACAATGGGGTGGGACAGGCATTAAACAAAGAATCTGGTAGAAGGGGTGTAGGTGAGAAAGCAAGGAGGAACCTAGAAAGATTAACTAACCTGGCCTTCCTGGCCACACGCCACCAGCCCATCAACTTCTCCAGGCTCATGAGACACCACTTCCTGCCTCCTGCTCCGCCCTCATGCCCTCTGGCCTTTGCATTTATTAAACATTTTTCTTCCCACCACAGAGCCTTTGCACAAGCTCTTCCCTCTGCCTAGAATGCCCTCTACCCCCAGTTTGCCTAAGGCCTAATCACCCTTCAGATCTCAGTTCAAATGTCCTTCTCCAGGGAAGCCTTTCCAATCAAACTTCAGACCCCAAGTTTTTACCTTCCCAAAACTAATCCTGTGTCAACACAGACAGTCCCCAATTTATGATGGTTTGACTTATGATTTGGGGCCTTTATGATAGTGAGAAAGTGATATGCATTCAGTAGAAACCATACCTTGAGTACCCATACAACTATTCTGATTTTCACTTTCAGTACAGTATTCAATAAATTACATAAATATTCAACACTTTATCATAAAATAGGCTTTGTGTTAGATGACTCTGCCCAACTGTGGGCTAATGTAAGTGTTCTGAGCACATTTAAGGTCAGCTAGGCTAAGTTATGGTATTCGGTAGCTTAGGTGTATTAAACGCTCTTTTGACTTATAATATCTTCTACTTACGATGAGTTTACCAGATGCAGCCCCATTGTAAGTTGAGGAGCATCTGTACGTGTCTCTTCCCTAGCAACCAGCGCGGCAGTCTGTGTATTCGCACACGTTGCATCCCCAGTGACCAGCGGCAGGCGCTCAGTGTCAGCTAAGGGAAACAATGAAGATGCCCAGGTGTCTGACTTGGGCAACTGGGTAGAAG